CCCCATCAAATAAATAAATAAAATCTTTAAAAAAAAAAAAAGAAGTAGAGTAATAGAGATAGCTGACATAAAATAATTCTACCCTAGATGTTAAACGCCAAATACGTTTTCTTGAACATATAACCCTGATGTGAATGCTATTATGAAAACTTTCATCTTTATAGTCTTCTAAATTTATATTTGTGTTAACTAACACTAGTGAAAGTTTGGGCATTAGTAATAATACTTCTTAGGCAAACAATATTTGGAAATGTAGCTTTGCAACTGGTATGTGATACTGGAAATGCCAGGGCATTTTTCTCCTTTGCAGGATTGAATGGAGAAAGTAGCTGACCCTGTCCTTCTGTCTTCCTAGAGTTCTGCAGCATCTTGAACAGAGCCACTGGCTTGACCATTGTACCAAAAGCCTCTTTGTGGAATTTGTGGTGTTCAATGCTAATGTGAACCTGTTCTGTGTAGTGACCCTGATTTTGGAGTCCAACAATGTGGGTACGAAGGTCTCTTCTGTCTTCTCTCTCTGACCTGGGTATTTCTGGAGAAGGCTCAGTTTCTTTATTTTATACCATTAAAAGAGTATTTTAATTAAAGTATTAAATATAATTTAAAAAGTTAAGTAGTTCAAGGCAAAAACTAGCAGTCCTCTCTTCCTCCCCACCTCACTCCCCTTCCCTAGAGACAGCTACCTCCAGCTTTTTTAACGGGTTCTTTGAAATTTAAAAATTAACATGCTTATTACTTATTTCATGAATTTTCAGTTTTAGATATTCTCTATTTCTTCCTATGATGATGAGCATTTAACTTTCTTAAACCCACACATAACACACACACACTTTTCTCTTACCTTGTTCTCCCAATATAGTAATAATTTATGGTTAGTTTAATATTTATTTCCATTATTGTGATTATCTAAATGATTTCTCAAAGATGAGCCATGTAATGTATTACAATTTCTTTTTTTCTACAACATTTTCCTTAGAGTTTATAAATACCTTTATTTCATTTGCTTGGTTTTGCATTGGTTTGCAAACTCCTCCTAGAAGTAAAAATCTCATTCTGTTCAAAAAGTATCAAGCAACCTATTATTTTATCTTTTAAAAGATAAAAGGCCCTCTCTGGGGCCCTCCATCCTTTTGGTACAATTCAGATTGGTTATTCTTTGGGTCTGCTGTACAGCGCTCATCCTGGATTCTCCCTATCATCCTGGGGATTATCTTGACATCTCTCCTCTGTTGGATCTTCTTTCTCCTGAATCCCATGTTTTCCTCTCTGGGTTTACTTTCTCATTTGGCTGGAGCATATCCTCCAGGAAATTACTACAAGGGTGCAGAAGAAGTAAATTTTTTTAAGCCTTCAAGGTCCAAAAATGTTCTTATCTGCCATCATACTTGATTGCTAATTATTCTGGATACCGTTGTTTTTACAGAATTTTGAAAAGTATAGCTCCATTGCCTTCTAGCTTCTCATGTTGTTGTTAAGAAGTATGATGGGGGCACCTGGGTGGTTCAGTGGGTTAAGTGTCTGCTTTTGGCTCGGCTCACGATCTTGGGGTCCTGGGACTGAGCCCCATCGGGCTCCCTGCTCATTGGGAAGCCTGCTTCTCCTTCTCCCTCTGCCTGCCGCTCTGCCTACTTGTGCTCTCTTTGTCAAAAAAAAGATGATGATGCCCCAACTCCCAAAAGTTTTTAGAACTTTCTCTCTCCTCATGGTGAGTCCTTTAACCTGGAAATGTGTCCTTAGGTTCTGAGAAATTTTCTCACAGATTTCTATTAATTTCTTCTCCATTTTCTCTGTTCTTTTTTTCTGGTATTCCTGACATTTTGACACTGGGATGCCTGGACTGATCCTTTGATTTTTCTTATTTTTGCTTTTCCATCTTTTTCTTCTAGTTTCTGGGAGACAAATTCAATAAGTGGTTTGAAATTTGAAGTATTCATCTTGATAATTTAATTTTCAAGAATTGTGTTTGTCCTCACAATATTTTTTTCATAGTATCCTGTTCTTTTATGGACACGGTATCCTCTTTTAACTCTCTGAGAATGTTACAGGCCTTTTTTTTTTTTTTTTTCCTCCTGCTCCTTCACTTTCTCTAATGCCTCTGAACTTCTTTTATTTTTTTTTTTATTTGGTCTCCAGTTTTAGTGTTGAGGTTCAGTATGTGGCTGTCTTTTCATATTGAAGACAGAGACAGTAAAAAGCAAATACTAGTTAGAAGCTCTTTGTTCATGGAAAGAGCTTGTCGACTGTTATCAAGTCGCTTAACCAACTGAGCCACCCAGGCGCCCTGTGGCTGTCTTTTCATATTGAAGACAGAGACAGTAAAAAGCAAATACTAGTTAGAAGCTCTTTGTTCATGGAAAGAGCTTGTCGACTGTTATCAATGTCTTTCGGACAGTTTTCACAATGAGGGACCCTCCAAACTCCTGCTTTGAGGATGTCTGCCTTTTAGACCTCTCAGAGCCTGTTGAGAAAAGGGGCTGGGAGGCATCTCACCATGCAGTATAAAAACTTGTTCTTAGGGGCGCCTGGGTGGCTCAGTCGGTTAAGCGTCTGACTCTTGATTTCAGCTCAGGTCATGGTCTCAGGGTCTAAGATAGAGCCCTGAGTTGGGCTGTGCACTGAGCTTGGAGCCTGCTTAGGATTCTCTCCTCTCTCCTCCTCCCTCTGCCCTTCCCCTGCTCATGTGAACACTCTGTTTCTCTCTTCTCTCTCAAAATAAAAATAAAACGCTTTCTCGGAATTTTTTCCCAGTAGACCACTACTTGCAAATAGACCTGGTGCTCCTGACTTCAGATTCTCTCTAGTTCAACAATAGGTAATAAACCTTTAGTTTTAGTGTGGTGGAAGGCAGGAAGAATAGCAAATACCTAGTTGTGAATGGTGAGGGAGGCAATCTGGGATCTAATTGTTTATGTTCACACTTGCAATCAGTTATATTTTCAGTTTCATCTGACCTTACATTCAGAAGTACCTAATGCCGGCAATTTTCCAGCCTTTCTGGGTTTGCTTCTGGGTTTTCTATACAGCTGACTTTGCCTTTAGCTTTCTTGAATCTGCTGTCCATGTCATTCTTCTGTTTTCCAGCTTCCAGTAGTTTGTTGCTGTCATCTACCCTCCTTTTTCTTTGGGTTTTTTATCCTGTCACTATCATTAGAGTGGCATTTTATGAGATTAGAGGGAAGCTCGTATATTCAATTCTCCTACCTTTAACAGGAAGTCTTTCCTAATCAAACTTCCTTTGTCTTCTCTTCCCCAGAATTTGCCCACTAGTATCCTTCCATTTACCACCAGGTGTTACTTCTGATCAGGAGTTGTATACTTTGAGTAGACTTCTACACTTCTAAATGAAGCATGAAGGCTTCCTGTGGATCTTCATAGGGTTTTTTATTGTTAGTAACTACCAAAAAACAAAACAAAAAAACAAAGAGGGCTAAGTAAACATGGGAAAGTCCCAGTCTTAAGAGCTAAAAATGTGAAGTAGGAATTCCTTTTATTCTTTTTTTTTTAAAGATTTATTTATTTATTTATTTGAGAGAGCGAGAATGAGAGAGAGAGTACATGAGAGGGGG